GGAACCTTCAAAACCAAGAAAAATGCAATCAGAAGGATTTACTAATAAATATTTTCAATACTTTTAATATATCACAGCCTGGCATAGAGTATTTGCCCTTCAAAATAATAATAACTCCCATACTTGGTTCATACAAATAAAGATACAAATAGTGGGGGAATTCCCAAATTGGTTTACAAATTGGTTCCGATTATGAGGCTCAGGGACATAAATATTACAACTTAACATCCAAGCTTCTCAACGAAAATTCATGGAATATAATAATAATGATATCAGAATAGACCTTCATATGTATTTCATAGCTCTATAACAAGTACCATGGATTATGAAATAGTCCTATCAAATAACCGAAGATTATACTAATAATTGGGAATACATCCCAAAACTCGGAAGACAAATATACGTAAAATGGTTGGATGTATATGAAAATAAGACCATTAATCTCGAAAATATAAAACTGAAAAAAGTACCACTTGCACCTCCAAAAGAAGAAGTTAATACGACCACCTATATCAATAAAATGAGGCAACAAAATCCTACTGTTACGAAAGAAGAACTCAAAAGAAAATTGTTGCAAATGTTCGATGAAGAAGAAGAAGCAATGTCTACATCCACGCAGAATGAAGAAGACTACGTACAGGAAAATGAAGACATAGAGTTTGGACTATCCCAAAAGGGATGAACAATCGAAATGCTATCAAGGACGGAACGACTGCATTTCACTAGTACATGAAGTCCTGCCGACAAAATAGTTCATGCTGACAAATTAGTTCCTATCGACAAAATAGTTCTTGCCGACAAAAGCTTTTCCTTTTTGTCTTATCACCTTTACTATTCACCTTTTTGTCTTGTCACCTTTTACTATTCACACCTTTCGGGCTTTTCACCGACATCTATGGGACCCATCCAGCACCATCAACATCCTCAGACCCTGTAGCGGACTTGAAATCTTTCTTTCACATCCACTGGCTATAAAAGGGGGCAGAAGCTCATTCATCATGCACCACGAGTTTTCTCCCTCAGTCTCCACTTCTCTGTAACCTCTTCATCTCTGCAGTCCTTGCATTCCTCTGCAACCTATTTACTGTTACTATACTCTCTTTTTCTACTATTACTATACTCTCTTTTTCTACTACTACTCTCTACCGTTACTATACTCTCTCTACCGTTACTATACTCTCTTTTCCTACTATTACTCTCTACTGTATATCTGGTGGTGTATCTAGCCAACCAGATCGTATTTTCTAAGAACGATTGTGAGTGTGATATATGTGTGATTGTAATTGGGACCCACTACCCAACTAAAACAAATTTTTTTTTTTTCATATTCATACATCTTGATGTCGAGATGATCAAGTAGAGTGTTTTTTCAACATTAAAACAACATTTCTGATAGATTTTTGAGGTGCATATGTGATTCTACATTTTAAGGTTACAACCTTATAT